CAAAAGGCACATACACTTCCGATATCAATAAAGTTAATGAAGCCATTCCCACATTTAAAGTTAGTCCCTGTCTTTTTTCCCTAAAAAGTCTGGTTTTCCGTAATACTGGTATTCTCTTAAGAGATTATTACAGTGTAGTGTAGCCACCTATGGAGGTCACGTGATGTGATGGCAAGCACACATTTTAGAATAATTGCGTTAATCACCGTTTTTGGTGGTAAAGTGGAACCTATTATATTTCTCTGAGCTGTTCACAATGCATTTATTGTGAAATATTGATAACTTACGGACAGTTTTTATCCCTTTAAGGCTACCATGGATATTGCGTAAACCTGCTGATAAATGTTGAAACGCAAACAATTAAAGTCTTTAACTAACTATCAGACAATTCCGCCGGACCACTCAGTGTTGCCAGGCGTCAAATAATACTGTGACACTTAATTTGCCGTCGGGTTAATGCCTTCTTCGTTACACTAATATTTTATTAACAAGTTTGAAGCAGATCAATATTTTCGCCAGCTGCACAGGTCTACCCACAACCCCTGCGCAAAAGAAGGTTAAGGTCAGATATCACTAAATGAAACTGTAGGCCTACTGTACTTTAAGAGGTCGAATGTTGAAATGCACATATGTAAATTCCCTATATGCCTCTGGCGCATGTTATTTACACGTGATACATCCATGGGGCTTCAGGGTTCAAACTGATACTCAGAGGACATCAGGTGTCATTACGTTACTGTTCAGAGATGGTGAAATTTCCACGAGAAAATTGTTTTGTTGTGTTTGTTATACTGTTTTGGGGATGGAAGTGGGCAGAAATGAACACTTCTGTACTTTGAAGCTAAAGAAGGCTTGGTTTATGTACCACCCTTCCCTCGCATTTCTCTTTGCACTTTAAAACTAAGTTTTCAAAAATTGTGCCGTTCATCGTATTAAAACACGCGCTAGATTAATCACAGAATGAATACAGATCCGAAATAAACAAAATTAAAACACGAAAGATATCTGCCACACGGAGGACAGCTTTCATATTCGTCCTCGCATAAGCTGTGCTTGCCACGAATATTCACGGATATTACAGTGTATACGTAAACCTGGCGGTCGATTTAATTGATAACATACTATTGAAACCGAAACCATTTAGGGTTAAGGCTGGCCTACCATGGCTATTGCATAACCTGGTGATCGGTTTGTCTGATAAATCTGCAATTTAATGGGCAAAATGTTGAAACGCAAACAGATAAAGTCTTTAACTAACTGAATCAGACTATAAGTTCAGTCCCGTAACACAGTGTTTCCAAGTGTCACATATCGTCTTCAATAATTAAACATCCTACCATCATGTCAAAAATTTCTTCCAAAGGCTTATATAATATTAACATGTTTGCGGTATATTTTCAAAAGCTGGGTCTACACACGAATCCCTGCATCAAAAAAGTATAGAAATAATAATGGCTGGGATAATTTTTCCTACGGTATGCTGAAAGAAAGCATAAGACCGAGAACAGTAGAATCACCGAAATTAGTTCTTCATGTATAAGAAGTGTTAATGGGACATCGGACTTTGGAATATATATATAGAAGTATTATTGCTTAAAAGATTATTGAAAAATACTATCACTGTTAGTATTACTTACAGAAAGCATATATGACCAATAAGAAGAGAAACGACGAAATACACTGAAAACATTAGGGTCATCGAAGAGGTTTACCTAAAACGAGGACCCAGGTAGTTAAAATCTGTATTTGATGGTCTTGCAGGGCCATCATATCCAACCTGATGATTACCCTTGGTAGTCATTTGATTACTTGGGTTGTCAAATTACATGTAGGTTAATTGATGCATTCATGTAGTTTGGGAGGAGATAAGTAGTGCTTGCAACCTTCATTTACCATTGGCCTGCGTACAATATTGCGTATAATATTAGTGAGAGTGAGAGTGTTGCATTAAGTATTGTGTAATGTTACCCAATACTTCAATGTAATTCTAGTGGCACAGGAAAGCTGAAACAAGATTTAGCATGAATTACTAAGTGTCTGAAACCAAATTTTCCTGTAAAAACTGCAACGCTCCAAAACTGAACCACAACAAACACTGCTGCAAAGTGAATGGCGTCCGCCTGTCGTGCGGTACGCACTTCACCGAACAACCCACTTACCAAGAGAGCAGTGGTCCAACATTTGTCCAACGCATGGTTGGTTGTACGACCAATGATGGCCCAACGTATGGTTGCTTATAGACACAACGTTGTACAGGCATTGGCCCAATGACATTTGCTCAACTATAGGCATTGGGCCAACATCATACTGCCGACGTTCTGCGTTGTATACCCTACTGGGTAATGAGATCGGTTGAAATGATGCCCATTTGCTTTCAGTGTAAGTTCCTATTGTATAAGAAGTGTTAATAAAAAATCGAAATTTAGAAGATGAATATATACTTTTACTACTGCTTCTACTATTTAATAATAATGATAATAATAATATTTATTTATTTATTCAGAGTCTAAAACCCATAAAATATATTTTGCAGTTACTACAAATTAAACACAGAATTTAAGAATTATTTTATATTAAAAGCAATGTATTAAAGTATTAAAAAAAAGAGAAAATGTCCAATTTTAACATTCTGTATTAAAGCTAAATAGAAAAGTGTCCAATTATGATGTTTTGTTAAGTATGAAATGGTCAAACATAAAACATTTTACGAAGATACATTTTTAGAGCTTTAAAAAAATCGTCTACTGAGCTTAAATTTCTTAGTTCTGATGGTAACTGATTCTGTTCAAGCGGGGCCGTATATTCAGTACTTCTGCTATCAGTACTATTTCTGTTTCAACTACTACATCTACTACTACTACTATGATAAAAAATAATAAGCACACACCACTAGTTAAATTTCAATAGTTTCAGCATGGCTGTCTTTGAAGGAAACTGCAATTAACCGTCTTCAGCTTTGACTTAATTATAAATTTTTAATCTGTTGAGCTTTGCCTCACGTCAATCAAACGTCAAATGGTCTTTAAAAATGTAACTTGACGTGTGCAAAACGTTCATCTGAAGCATTATAAAGGCACCATCAATCAAATCATTTTAACAGAAAGGCTGGGGATATTTCAGTTTTTCGAGGAGTCCAGTTCCTACCAATAAATACTGCTGCCTTCTACTTGTGCGGACCAAAGTTGTAAGTACAGTATTTAACTAAGTAATTCAGTAGTGCGCTTGTCGAGAAGTTATGTATTATTTCTTCCCGAGGCTAAATTAAAAATAATATCAAATTCAATGCTCTGTACGAACCAACCCATAAGTAACATGGGCAGAGGATGCATTTTGGTTCTTGTTTTCCACAGTTAGTGTGGTTTCTTAAATGGTATTTGAAGCTGATGGGTGCATGGGTAGGTTTCTGAACATTAGGTTGCATCCAAAGAATGTTTGTAACTGCCATATAAAGCCGGTAGTTAAGTATACGTACCGAGCTTACTAGAAATATCATGATAACAGACATGCTGAAAACTATTCATAATGGTAGGACATTTGGACCGGCAGTAATGAAAAATTTGCCGGACCGAATGGATTTTTGTCGGGCAAAAATCACCCTATTCGTTTGAGACAGATAGTACCAGTATTATTAGGGTAGCTTATTTTGTTTGTGAATGTGATAGGTTTAAAATGGAAGTGAAAAAACACTTTGGGTTTTATATAATTTTATTAGTGAAGTATGTCGAATGATGACTGTAAATTCAAAAGTGCAGTTCTTAAAACTCTTGTCTTTCCTTTGGACCGACCAAGTCCAATTTTTTACCGGTCCAGACAAATTTTGCCGGTCATGACCAATCGGACCGACAGTTTCTGCATGTCTGTGATAGAAACTTCAAGTATAATTAGNACGCTTAATATACTTTTATTGCGCAGTACACTTGTGCGCATATAAATTGAAGCGCAGTAGCAATGTGCGCAGACGTAGCCACAGAACAGTGCTTGTAACAGTCTGAAACGCTAATCCCAACACATGAAAACAGTAGTTAGCACGATTTCGTGCATTTATTGCGATAAATATGTATCAGTGTGTATTAAAACACACATCACTGTATTAACAGTATGTCAGCAAAAAACTCAAAACACTGCAGAAATATTAATTTCATGCAGCTTGTAAATCCGCGTGCGCTTCGCTGAGAAACGGCGCAATGAATGACGCTGAGCTGCGCGCGCATCTCTCATGTGGAGCCTATTACGTCACTAGACGGTGATGTGGAATCTGTGTTTACAAGTACGATTGACATTGGCATACTGAGTGGCTTTACTGATTATTTTATATTCATCCGAGAATTTATGGACAGGTCACTGTGTTTTTTAATATAATTTTAGTGTCCTTCTGATATCATTTCTTTGATTGAATTCATCAATGAAGAAAAAAATCCATGGCTTATTCTAAGTCATAGAGCAACCATTTGAAACGTTATTTGGATGTCCGTATTATCCAAATTATCTACTGTTAAAGAGGTACACTGTTTACAGAGGACAAACATATAAGTATTTATTCACAGCAGCGGTAAGCTGTGTATCTGGCCTTTCGGTTTTTCGATTAGTGAATTAATTACTACCCACAGGTTGTCTACAGGTTCAAAGCCACTTTAGCTGTCCAGTCCCATGGTTCTGAAAGTTATCTGCGAATACAAGTACGCTTTGTGTAAGGACGTCTCAATCTTGTAAAATAAAAAATTTGTCTTCTGTCAACTGGGAGGCAGGCGGTTTTCAGAGTAAATCTACATTAGGTTCAGGTTTTCATGGATGACTACCAATTGGGAATTCCGGCCCCCAGTCCGTCTTTGCGTTAAATAGGTGAGGCAGGTAATTTCGACTCCCTCCTAGATGATGGTTACATTATTTACTTTGTCGTACACTAGCAAATGAACAGACTTTATGGTAAAAGATGTCAGACGTTCGGTGTGACAAGTGTAAAAATTCTGTCAGACTGAAACAAAATCCGTAAAACCAAAACTAAATTATAGAAATTATTTGATGTTTAAATAATTTCAGGTGTAATTATCACTGTTCTCTATCATAGACAATCATTGTTCAACTGTGTTCCATTTATTTCATAATTTTGTAACATTTTTAGACACAAAAATATATATTTTAATACTTTAAGACTAAACATATGTATTACTTATGATATACACGGCTAGATTATATTTATTATCCATTAAGTGTCTTTACCATGATCATTTTGTAAAAATTTGGTGCCGTATCGTTAAAAGTCTTTGCCTCCCTGAAAATGTGATGGTGCTTTGTAAGTTGACATTCCATGTAATCTTTCCTAACAAATACCTGTACAGGTATATACAGACTTGACATTTAATATGGAATATTTTTTTCCACATAATTTTTCATCAGTTTTTTTCCTATTTTGCTGACTGATAAATAAAAATAAGGATTAAAATCGTGTTTTAATAACTTTTAATTATCTCTTCATTAATGGAATTCGCCAGAGAAGCAAACAAAAAAACACATTGCCTATTCTATGTCATACGACAACCGTTAAAAGATATATTTTGGATCTCCATATTTTCCATATTATTGTCTGTAGAAAGAGTTACACGCTCCACAAAGGACCCTCATGTCAGTGTCTAGTCAAAGTAATGGTCGCTGCTACACCTGACCTCTTCTGGCTGCTACCAGCGCTCTCCAGCGACAAGGCATTCCTTGGAATAGGTTTTTAGAGTTCAATCTGGAAAAAAATTCGAGGCATCGTTCAAAATATGTCCAATTTGGTCCAGTTTTGTTGTAGAACATGTAAGCCATTGATTCGGCGAGTAATGGCCTACCCACATATTGTCTATATGGTTCAAATATGGCTGATGACCAAGGTATCTGCTCATTCCCTTGGTTCTGTAAGTAATCTGCTATTAAATGTGCTCTGTGTGAACCGGCAATATTACCGTGCAACCTTAAATTGTTCCTATGGTGCCCCCTATCAAATGATAGTCAAGTGGTTCCCAGTTTATTCCTTTATTTGATCTGGTTCAGGTTTTCGTCGATGACTACCATTAGTGTTTTGGCACCAATGTGGTATCAACTCCAAATACTGACGCTGTTAATAACCTTAGTCACTTTACAAGCGGCACACGCTTCGTCGTTGGTCTCTTCTGGATTGTCTGTAAATTCTGTTTTGACTAGTTGAGCGGTACAGGTGAAATCTGACCTCAATAAAGAAAGCCATGAGATTTCAGTATTCAACCCAGAAAGAGTCAAGTTCCCCAATTAATTAGAGAAACATACAACGATGTTTTGCTGTTTACACTGGGTTCCTCGGAGGTCGTCTGGTATTCTAACCTGCTTAAATCAGTTTGGTGTTCGCTAAGGGCCTTGAAAAATGCGTTTTGGTGGCAATTTACCCTTCATTCTGAACGGACTAGGTGGTTATTGTGTAGCTGCCACAGCATATCCCGAAAGACAGTGGGTCCCGTATTCTGGTGGTAAGTATTCAATACATTGGGTGTGGCATCTGTGTAGGTACACCAGTCTGGGCATTACTCTATAAATCTGTGCGAAGTGTTTCGTGTGACGCAATTATCTGTCTGGCAATGTCTCTTTTCCCCGCGCCATTCTGCCACAGATTACCAAAACTGTAAAGCACTGCATAGCTCATTTTACACATTGCAAAACCGACCACTTGCATGCAAAATTTCAAATTCTTCTATGCAGTAGTTGCCGACAAATGGATACTTTTTTTGACAGAACCATGCTTTGCCAAAGCCAAGCTTTGACCTACCCAAAGGAGCACTACCCAATTAAATCACTGCATATTACATATAGTGCAGCAGCGCAATAAACCTGGTATTCAGTTAATTGGCACCGACACACCTGACTACACACATCTACATTCACATATCTTATATGAGATCGAAGTTTTTTGAACGCATTTTTACCTAGGCATTCCTTCGAAACTGAAAACTTCCATTTTAAATGTCAAGTCTGTATATATTTTGTACCGGTAGTGTGATTGAGGGCATCCGTGATAGAGCAGTTTTACTGTTTACTGTGACTGTGACATTTTGTTCTTGGTACTCGAGTTTAAGATATACCGGTTTCCTCTGTCATTGTCTGGGCACTGACAGTTTTCAGTCTGCAAATTATATTTTTAACACTTAATCAAACAATAAGGCTTTTGTGCATTAACTTTATAACAACATATGGCCCATATCGTGTCCAGTTCACTTGCCATTTAGTTCAGAAATAAATGATATTTTTATGTAATCGATAACTCGTTGAACATGGATCCTGGGTGTATTTTCCTCTTCGTGTGTCTCTGTCTTGGTAATTTGAATCCCAGTAGTACACACAGTAATACCTTGATACAAGAAGTCATGAAGTTCATAAATTCTTCATAAGTAGCAAAAACTGTGTAAAGCTTAATAGATTTTAGTTCCTTTTTCCATAACTTTGTGCTAAAGAGTTTTTTTATCTACTTGAACTTCTTTCTTCCGGTCTCTGCGTAGGATCACAAGTCCTCTTGTAGTTCTGTCCGGAGCGTTCCTTGCGACACAATAATCTGTCTGGGAATTTCTGTCTGTTTTCTGCCTTTCTAGCTCATAGAATCAATACTGTGACTCACTGGTTCGCTTTATTCCCACACCGTTAAACTGGCAACAGGTATAGAAAATTTCAAAGTCATCTGTGCAGACGTTAACGAAACGTGGAGATATGGAGACTTTTTAAACAGAACCATGCTCTGTCATAGTCATACCAGGATTAGCCCAAACAGTAATACCTAATGGAATTATGGCATATTACGTAGTGTAGGAGTGCTGCAGACAAGGTGGTCAATTAATTATCAATTAGATAATTTAGGAAAAAAATTTAAGATATGCATCCGAATTAAGGTTAGCGTCACTTTGATGGTTTAATATTATTAAATGTATGAACATTTTATAATTTTGTGTTATACCGTATCATATTATTACGTACTGGTACTGACACTTTTATACCTATAGGTACGCCTTTTAAGCTGAAATATCCAATATTAAATGTGAAATCTGTAGTTCATTTTTAAATGCCTAGCCCATTGTACAGCACCCTTAAGCAGAAAAATATAGTATAAAAATCAAGTTCAGACTTCAAAGTATTATCGTTGAACCATGTTTCGCAATTAGATAATTTAGGAAAAAATTTAAGATATGCATCCGAATTAAGGTTAGCGTCACTTTGATGGTTTAATATTATTAAATGTGTGAACATTTTATAATTGTGTGTTATACTCTATCATATTATTACCTCCACCAAGGAGGTTATGTTTTCACCCCTGTTTGCCTGTCTGTTTGTCATCAACATAACTCAAAAAGTTATGGATGAATTTCGATGGAATTTTCAGGGTAGGTCAGAAATGGTTTAACTTAGAAGTGATGAGTTTTTGGTGGTGATCCGGATCAATAATCAATCAATAATCAATAATAGGGGTGAAACGGCATTGGATGGAGACTTTGCTGCCTTGGCGGAGGTCTGCGCTCTCTGAGTGCTTTTTTAGTTTAGTTCTAGTTTAGTTCTCCTAATGAGCCGTATGGCTGCATAATTGCAGAACTTAAATTAAAATAAACACAAAAGGTGTGCCTGAGTCACTAAGATTATCTTTTTATCCCATCTCTACCAGTTGTCTGGAGGTGCGCCTTGAGGACAGGCAAACAAGGTGGTGGTAGTAGAAAAATATAATATTAACTTAACCAAAGGGATGCCTGGATTACTAAGATTTTATGTAAATTAATAATTGTGATGTAAGTCTATTGGAGGGTACCTGAGTGTCAGAGCAACGTAAAAGCTAGCTTGTCAAATATACCTTGTGATGGAGTCGCTTTTACGGTATTGCTTATATGGGTTATGTATGAAATCAAGATCGAGCTGGCATTACCAGAATCTAGAACCTAGGGTATTGGAGGGAGGAAAATAAATAAAATGGCAGTTTACCAGAGAATGAAAATCACAATGTCAATAAATAGTTCATTCAAATTATCATAATTACATACATATCGTCATGATGGGAGGGTACTTTGGAATTTTAGTGCCACAGGGGGTTGGGCAGTACCCTGGGGGGTAGTGGATTCTAAATTATTAAGATATTGTAATTTCTGCCATCTGCCCTAGACCATATCAGAGTTAGGAAGTTGAAACTTTAGTGATTTGTATACCCATCATCAAGGAGGTGCATGGGCACTTAAGAATTTTAGTGCAACAGAGGGTTGGGCTGTACCCTGGGAGGTGGTTGATTCTAAATTATTAAGGTATTGTAAATTCTGCTATCTCCTACTAGACCGTTAGAGATAGGATATTGAAACTAAGGGAATTGGAAGATCCATCATCAGGGATGTGCATGGGCATTTTAGAATTTAAGTGCCACAGGGGGTTGAGCTGTTCCGGGGGGGGGGGGGTTGATTCTAAATTTTTATCACATTGAAATTTCTGCTTTCTCTTCCTAGACCATCAGAGTTAGGAAGCTGAAACGTTGGTGAATAGTTTACCCATCATCTGGGATGTGCATGGGCACTTTGGAATTTAAGTGCCACAGGGGGTTGGGCAGTACCCTGGGGGGTAGTGGATTCGAAATTATTAAGATATTGTAATTTCTGCCATCTGCCCTAGACCATATCAGAGTTAGGAAGTTGAAACTTTAGTGATTTGTATACCCATCATCAAGGAGGTTAAGAATTTTAGTGCAACAGAGGGTTGGGCTGTACCCTGGGAGGTGGTTGATTCTAGATTATTATGGCGTTGTAAATTCTGCTATCTCCTCCTAAACTATTAAAGTTAGGAAACTGAAACTTTGGGAATTGGTAGACCCATAATCAGGGATGTGCATGGGCACTTTGGAAACTGAGTGCCACAGGGTGTTGGTCTTTCCCCGGGGGGTGGTTGATTCTAAATTCTTTTCACATTGTAATTTCCACTATCTACTCCTAGACCGTTAGAGATAGGAAATTGAAACTATGGGAATTGGAAGATCCATCATCAGGGATGTACATATACACTTTGGAATTTTAGTGCAACAGTGGGTTGGGCTGTCCCCGGGGGTTGGTTGATTCTGAATTCTTTTCACATTGTAGTTTCTGCTTTTTTCTCCTAGACCATAGCAGGTAGGAAGATGACACTTTGGTTATTAGTATACCCATCATCAGAGATGTGCATGGGCATTTTTGAATCTTAGTGCAACAGGGGGTTGGGCTGTCCCTGGGGGTTGGGTGATTCTAAATTCTATTCAAATTGTAGTTTCTGCTATCTCCTAGACCATTGCAGGTAGGAAGCTGAAACTTTGGTGATTAGTTTAACCATCATCAGGGATGTGCATGGGCACTTTGGAATTTTAGAATGGCTGGGGATTGAACTGTCCCTGGGCTTAAATTTTTAAGTCTATTCCCAGAGTATTAGAGTGTGATTTGTGATTCTATTTTTCCTATTATATGCTATGAAATACTTTGATTTACTGTACTAGTTAGGGGTAGATGTACTTTTTTGTTACCACTTTATCAGATTCTGATGTATAGCAGATATTTTTAATATCTCTACGTCCAGATGGAACCATTCTTAGATTTATAAGTTGTTTGTTCTTTTTCTTTTTACAGGAAGATTACAATCAGCTTATTAACCAGTTTGCTGTGAACCATGAAGAGTGACTCTGTTGGCTACTTTTTGGTCATCTCCATGATGGCTGCCATTGGTACGTTGAATGTTTTTATTATTCTTTTGTTATCTTTTAATCTTTTAACAGAAACATTCTTCAAATTTAAAAACCAGTTTGGTTGGATTATAACCTCCGACGATGAGGAGACCCTGTTTTTGGTAGTGTTAGTTAGGTAGTCAGCTACATGTAGTTACTTAGTAGGCACAAAATAACGGACGCAATAAAGGGAANTATCTTTTAATTTTTTAACAGACACATTCTTCAAATTTAAAAACCAGTTTGGTTGTATTATAACCTCCGACGATGAGGAGACCCTGTTTTTGGTAGTGTTAGTTAGTTAGTAAGTTAGTTAGCTAGTTACTTAGTAGGCACAAAATAACGGACGGAATTTGATAAAATTTTAAAGATAAATCACATATAAGTACCCTAGGTTCTAGATTCCGGTATTGCCAGTTCGATCTTGATTTCATATATAACCCATATCAGCAATACCGGCTCTAGCGAACAGCGGCCATGTTACACTTCCGTCAATCAAATAGAACTGCTCCGCAGTGAATCTGCAGTTGAATGTCATCAGACCAAAATGAAACGTAAAACAGATTTAATTCTGCTTTATTTAATTTTATTTGCTGTATTTAAGATGTAAAGTGAAAAAATAAATAATTTTCTTCGAAAAGAAAAGATATATCCAATGTTTTTGTATTTTTTTGCTAATCAAAGAACATTTAGTCCTGAGATATACACGTGAACAATACACGTGCTTCCCGTGTGCCAAATTTGACAGCTACACTTTATGCCCGATACCACTATAAGGGCTGTGCAATGGCTACACCAAAATTAATTTTTTTTAAAGCAGAATTTTGCTTGTATTGTGGCACTGACCTTTGACTGCAAGATATTTTCAATTCGAACTTCTAACTCCGTGTCAGGCATCTTGTCTCGTCTGCACGAGATAACTTCAGCGCAAGGTTGGAAAGGCAGCTCCAGGCGGCCAAACCTGTGACGTACGAGACTTGTGACTTTCAAATATGGATCCAGGCGGACACAGCTGTGACGTGTGACTTCCAAATATGGAAGCGCCCCAGGCAAAATTTTGAAGAAGAACGCCCTCAGATTGTCGCTGTTCGCCGTCAGAGCTAGTAAAAGCGACTCCATCACAATTGTATATTTAACAAGCTAGCTTTGACGTTGCTCTGACACTCAGGGTACATATAAGTCAAAGAAGAAAATATAAGATTTGGAGGTGATACGGCTTACCACTGAGACGCACTTTGTATCGAAACGCCACAAGAATGGGTTTTAAGTAAAACAAATAAAAAAGTACGTCTTGATCTATTTTAATTCGACACGTTTTTTGCCCCTCACGCAAACGCGCTCTGCATGGAAGTTGTAATAGTTACGTCTTGACGTAATACTGCAAGCACTGGCTCATGTCGCATTGAATTAATCAACCTGTGCGCAACCAGTTGCCAAAGGTCTTGACTCTACGACTGAATAACAGCCGAAGTTTCCCAAAAAACTGTACTTTTATGCCCTTTTTGTATTTTTATATGACTACCATTCTGTAACTTGTTTCTCGGCGCATGCACAGACAAAACTCTACGTATACTTACAATTTTTTCCAAGAAACGGCGTGTTCCTGCCCCAAGTGGTTTAAATTAGATCTTGGACATAATTTTAACGTATGATTTTGTTCTTCTTTAGATCATGTCAAAAGCTGACAGTCTTCCAAATTAACTATCATCATTTGACAAGCCTACTGATGCAATTTAAATGGCTGGTAGGTGACCAAGAGCTCATTTACCACGTACATACATGGTTCTGCAGTATTTAGCATTATAATTTTATTACTAGTCTGCAAAGAAAAAAAAACTTTCGTGGTCCAGCTTGTGGAATTTTAATCTATCTAAAATTCAAACTTAAACATGCCCTGTAACCTTTTAAACTAATACGAACTTACCATTATAGCGTCCAAATGTTATTTTTCAGATACTCGATCAAAACTCGCTGTCGAGACGTTTAATTTACCTTTGAGGAAGGAACCATATTTATCTGCAGCTTGTTTCCGTGTTCTGAATATTCGTCTTAAAATATGTGTTACAGGCCCAGTCCTAATCTAGTCCTATGCCATGAGAGGCCCAGAACCCATCCTAATTAGGGCCTGGCTGAACCCAGTCTTAATGGTATCTTTGCTTAGTTAACAGCATAAATAGGCAAGTTAATTGACCAAGTTAATTGGTCAAGCTGCCAGTTTGTTTGTATGGCATGTGTTAGGGATGTATTAGACCAAGTCACATATTATTTTACTTACAGTTGTGGCAAATGAAATATAGTTGTATTTCATTACCTATGATTTGTAAAATACATCTGAGGATGATACTTTTAAAGATGTTTAATGCTTAAAGAAAAGGCATGTAGATTGATTTAGAAATATTTACTAAAGAAATGTTAAATTAAAGGCGGGCTGTTAGTGTGTTATTTTTAATTATCTAGGTTTTATACAGAATATAGGAAAAATTCTGCCCATTTATATTTTGTTGACCTTTCTGGAAAATATCTGCATTTCCTTAAGGATAAATTACAAAGAACATTTTTTCACAGCTGATTGATTTCAATTTCAATTGGTTAAATTTACCATATAAATATAAATCACAAGGTTTACCTGAAAAACTTAAAAACTGGATTTCTCCAGCTGAAACAGATGATCACTTTTAAAGATAAAGTATACTAGCATATCATTTATTAATGATGGACACCCACGAAACATGACGGTGTTGCTGAGGTGCACCTCCAGTTTATATCTATTCTGAATTTCTGTCTAACAGCTGCAGTCCATGGCTCCAATATACTGTTCCCGTATGGCACCGCAGAGGGGGACAGCGTCATGCCCCCGAACGATGACGGAGCTACCGGCGCGATCGCGCTGTCTACTGGTTTTCTTTATTACGGAAATGTCCATTCGTCCTTATACGTAAGTATGTTAGAGGTAGTGCTTTTTACGTCCTGCGATATTTTTAAAAGTGATGAAAATGACAGCAAGTGTCAGTACTTTTGCTGTTCGTGCTTGTGAATTTGTTCCTGTGTAGGCTATAATGTATAATTATTTATGCGATGCTACATATTTATTATGGAATTTGTCCATTTCATTGTTAATAACATGCAGTTTATCTTGTTCTTTTCACTGCCTTATGTGCTTGTTAATATCACATTATAAACTGTACATGTACTCTTGGCGATTCGTATTATTTGACAAAGATGTACATGCACTTCATACTACGTGTTTAAATGTTTGATTCGGTCTTGGTCGGGAGGTACATGTAAGTCAAGTTAACATTTTTTACTGCATAGATTCAGTTAGCTGTTTCTCTGTTCCGCTGCAGGGGTCATGTTTGATATGGATGGGTGGCCACAAGTAGAGGAGAGCGCTGAAGTTTAAATGTTGTTCTTTTTTTTCGAAATACGATTCCACAAATTCCACATAGGGGATATTGATATACATAGGTGTCTAGCGGTATTTTGACTGAAAATGTGTTAAATTTATTTCATTCTTATTTTGAAGAGATGTCGCTTTTGAATAAAATTATAGCATATTTATATCTAATAAGATGTGCGTCAAGTACCACCCATCAGAGGGTGAGGGTGCAAGTGTTCACCAAGTACCAACTCCCAGTATTTTTGAAAAAAGGTTTTCATTTTTTATTTTTACAAATTAGTGGTAGCCTTATGCTTTCCCCGTCTTCAGGTCCATCAATAGACAATCTGCTAATCTTTACCAACATTCGATTTGATTGGTTTGGATTTATTCAGGTGAACACAAATGGTGCTCTAAGCTTCCTTAGAACAGTCACTGCTTACACCCCTTCCGCTTTCCCACTGGGCTCGAACATGCGGATAATCTCTCCGTTTTGGGCAGACGTCGACACCCGGAACGCGGGTAGGGTGTACTACCGCCAGACCACTAGCAAGGCAGTGCTAAACAAAGTCACCGAGGATGTAGGGAGGAGTGAGGCGTGTTCTACTGGGGCCAAGTTTGCTGCCACCTGGGCGTTTATTGTTACCTATGACGATGTGACATATTATGGCGGAAACAATGATACACCGGTAATGATAAAGTTAATATGTAACAGAGAGCATTCCATAGTTTGGCATATCTTGATCTACCTTTTGTTCATTACCTCCGCCAAGGAGGTTATGTTTTTGGTTCCGTTAGTTTGTCGGTCTATCTGTCTGTCTGTTAGCAACATTACAGAAAAAGTTATGGACCGATTTTGATGAAATTTTCTGGAACTGTCAGAAGTGGGCCAAGTAACAGATGATTAGTTTTTGGTGGTGATCCGGATCATTAATCAATCAATAATCAATAATCAAAAGTAAAAAAGAAATCTATATCATTATAGAATGAAAATTTAGGGGAGAAACGGCATTGGGTGGAGACTTTGCTGCCTTGGCCGAGGTCTGCGCTTACGGGGTGCTTTTCTAGTTTGNCGGAAACAGTAATACACCGGTAATGATAAAGTTAATATGTAACAGAGAGCATTCCATAGTTTGGCATATCTTGATCTACCTTTTGTTCATTACCTCCGCCAAGAAGGTTATGTTTTTGGTTCCGTTAGTTTGTCGGTCTATCTGTCTGTCTGTTAGCAACATTACAGAAAAAGTTATGGACCGATTTTGATGAAATTTTCTGGAACTGTCAGAAGTGGGCCAAGTAACAGATGATTAGTTTTTGGTGGTGATCCGGATCATTAATCAATCAATAATCAATAATCAAAAGTAAAAAAGAAATCTATATCATTATAGAATGAAAATTTAGGGGAGAAACGGCATTGGGTGGAGACTTTGCTGCCTTGGCCGAGGTCTGCGCTTACGGGGTGCTTTTCTAGTTTGTCTTATTCATTGGGATATTTTTATTATTTCGATCATTTCATTATTTGCTGTTGTTAAAGCAATTGTTCTTTTGCCTTTACATTTTGCAGAAATGCATCATATGCCTACATTTTTTGTGTTTCCCCTCTGGAAACCAATGGACAAATGTTTAGATAATCAGAGTTACCTAGGCCAGCCGACACACATACATACAAAATAATGAAAACAAATCTGATGGCCCTAACGATAAATATCTAATTCTAAATCTTTGATTTTACAGTATAAAAGCTATGACAAAATAATTTTACTTTTTTGGGGGGTATTCAAAGCAATCCAGGACACGCTGTGAATAACTTGCCTCGTTTGGTCTTTTCCAGAGGAACACTTTCCAGGTTGTCTTGGCAACAGACGGTAGCCATTCTTATGTTATATTTAACTACTTAGATGTGACGTGGACAACAGGGACGGCAAGCGGTGGAAACGCCGCGACTGGCCTGGGCGGAACACCGGCACAGGTAGAACTGAGAGCTCTTTTGAATAGTGCCTTCAGGACATGTTGATCTGCAGATCTAATATGGCTTACCAACTTGAAAGTTAATATTAAAGCATTTTTACATATGGTGCTGTATTATAAACACGTGAACCGCAGTAATTATGGAAAGTAAAACAAAAACATCAATATGTGAAATCTATCCACAGTTAAGATATACTGGCACCGACTTGACAATACCGATGATCTTCAATGATGATGACAATGAAATGATATGTGACCTTCGATCTTTCATTACATTCTAACTAATTTCTTATTACCTATGAACAGATATTTCTCTGTCTACATGTACTTCTTAACACTAAAATCACAGCAGGGACATGTGTGAATATTAAATGAAAAATCAATAATAGTCAAATATTGGGCTCCCACTTGAAAGCATGCCAAGATTTAGTTGCTCTGCCCATGCTGTGTCGCATTCAGTACAGATGACTGGTGGACTAACTGGTTCACCAACTAAATATGGCCGACCCCACTGAAAAAAACGATACCGCTAATTCCCTGATGATCTAAGCCAAACCTCCTCCATATGAGCCTTTAAACAGATTAAATTTCCGAGGTTTAATTGCTAGGCCTCTGCAATGACGGCACATGTGGACGCCGGGAGACCATGCATCAAGGTGGCATTGCTTTTTAAGTGGGGTAGGCCATATTTTGTAGGCCAATCAGCTAGTACGCAGAACATCTGTTGTGAATGCACTCTGGTTCTGAACGTGCCCTATCAGTTGTTGTATTTCTAGTGCTTATTTTCATTCCATTTCCTTTCCCGACGCGTCTTATTTTTACTGTTTACAGGCAGGCTTCAATGCTGGTGATGGAATACGCTATTTCTCCTTGCCTGGCTCCAGAACCTCTGCCATAGTGGACGTAGAGACAACAAGCAACATAGATGTTGAAGGTCGATGGGTTTTCAGAGTTGACGGAGGCACAGTGGAAAACATGGAATGCACGGCAAGTAATAGAGGTAACTTACCAGACACGCGTACGTGGCTACCACGTTGTTGGGATACTGTCACATGGTGATCACAATGTTAAATTCTTTTCTGGATCTGGAGGGGCTCAATTTCACATATATGCAATCTTTTGAACCATGCAATCGTTGAAATGGCAAGGGTATGGTATAGTGTAGTGACTTGTTTCAAGTGATCTCAGGGTGGTAGTTTTTTAATATTCTTTTTTTATTAACTCTTTTTTGATTTAATATTCTTTTTATAATCAAGGCATTTAATAGTGAATTAAAGCAGAACAGTGGGCAGCAGTAAAGCACATGCCTACTGTACAGAATAACTGACCTTGCATGATTTCTTATAGAGGTTTAATAAAAGAATATTATTTTACAATTTTCAGTGGGCCAGTGTATGGTCAGAGGGGATCCCCATTTTGAGCAGTTCGATGGGCGCCACTTTCTTTTTAGTGGGTTTTGTAAATATACACTCTCGGGAACTTTGCCAAATGCCACTGAACAATTTGACATAACTGGTACATTTGTCTCCNTAATATGCCACCCCTCCCTATCTTCTCTAGGATAAAAAAAAAAAAAAACATAATTACTTTCCCATTTACTTGTGGCACACCACAATTATTTAACGTATAACTCTTTTACATCACAAGACAAGGTTCATTAGACAAAAAAATCATTTATGTAATATATATGCTGAAACAAGTTGCTCTGATTCATTAGACTGCATACAACAGGTAAATCCGGCTACCCCCCCCCCCACATACAACTCATTAAAATACTAAGTTACGATGCCTCAAACCAAATAATATTTTATCACACAACCAATATATGTATAATCTTTATAATAGCAAATTTTAAAAAAATTTTGACGATGGGCACTTTGCCAGTGGTTATTCGCACTCATCCTTTATGTGCATAATGAAGTAATACCCCCCGTACACACAAAAGTGCCTCTTTTTAGAGAGAAACGGTGTTCATCAAGCCATTTTCTCAAGAATAAAATGTTTCTCATATATTAAAAATACATTGCTTTTACCAATTACATTGCCCATATAAATAGTGGTCGCCAAAACATTGAGTGTGTGCTTACAAATGTTATTGTTAATGAGTCCTCATGTATTGACAACCATTGCAGGTTAACAATGCAACCATCAGTGCATCAACGACTCCACAAGATGTCGGCAGCGGTGTGATGTTGTCTCTTGACCCAACTGGCTTCCCAAGGACTGTTGTGGAGGTGCCTGGTGTTGTGAAAGTTGAACTCACCACCCCTGTTGAGGGATTAAGGCGTAAAGGACATAGAGCCATCATAACCGTTCCAGGTAAAATGGCAAACATACATGCTCATATATTTACACACAAACAAAGAGAGAGAGAGAGGGAGGGAGGAGGGGGGGAGGGAGTCAAAGATATTTAAACAAGGCAGAACCACCAATGTCCTTGTCACTGAAAGGTGACTGGAAATGTTTTAGCAACCAAGAACATGAGTTATTTTAAGACTAAAAACTGTTCAATATATTACACAATTGTGAGTTTTAAAGGCCATGGGGAAGATAAATTTTTAATTTACTATGTTTTTATAATCAATAAATAAAGTTTAATGAATGAATGAATGAATGTACGAGTGCTTTTATCTATTCAGTTAAATTCATATATGCTCTATTTTCATGGTGCTTACACCAGATGATAATTGTTTGTGTCAGTGTTGTAAAATTATGTAAATATGCCGAAAGTTGTTCAATTATATTTAAAATGTTTTTCTTTACAACAGCCACATATGCTGGGAAACTGAATGGGCTGTGTGGAGATTTCGATGGTGATTCTGCTGACGATGAATCCCCCTGTTCTGGAGGCCCTCCTGCAGATTGCTTTGTGGATGACGGAAGGTAAGTAATGTTTAGGAACACTGTATCCAACAAAGCCTTCCAGTTTCAGAAAACATTCACTAACTATGTGTCAGTCCAGGACCAGTTATATACCCCAGGCCACAATTAACAACTTGTCCATGAGCCGTCAGTGTATTGCTTCGTGGGAGGCCGAAGGTAGTTGCACTTGGTACTCAAATCTATGTGAACTCAGAATTTGGACCCCACCCCCCACCCACCCCACCATGTCATCACATATTTTCTGTAACAGACACTCACAAATTATTGGTCATGATTAAATTAAGGATTGTATACTGTTATTGCTGTCCATGCATATTAGATAAAAGCATACAATTAAATCACTTCCTGCATTTATATATTTTTTTTNACTTCCTGCATTTATATTTTTTTTTCAGTACATGTATAAAATCAAATCTTTGCCACTTAACCTAACAAAATGCCCACAAGTAGTTTCAAATAGTATAAATTAAAGAAATACCAAAGGGCATCTTCTCATTCTTCAGATATTTTAATTCCGTTTGTGCCATATAAAACCCACAGTAGTTATGCATCATAGATTGCTACATGTGGTGTACTTTTAAGAATGGGGAGGGATGGTTAATTATGTCACATTGACTTTTTTCATAAGTATGTTTTTTTTAGACACATTACTTGAACAACTATAGTGACTCTAGGATTATTTAGTTATGTTTTGATTTAATTATGTTTTGAAAAATATTTTAGATATCATGCGCACCACCATAGTAATAATGCTTGCAAATTGGTTATAGAAATACATGTGTACCAATTAATTTTTGTGTACAGACACAGATGTGTCTGTACACATAGCTGTCACCTGCGTCTGTCATCGCTGTCGTCACTGTGCATAAAAACCTACTTCTTGCACTGTCACCTCAAACATTATGAAAAGAAAAATGTGTTACGTATTATTTTTAACTTAAAAGAATGATTCTGAGGATTGACATTCAGCTCAAATTAGAAAACCAGTTCTATTGGATTATCTTTTTGAATTTATGCTTTTTTTTTTTTTTTTTTTTTTTTTTTTTTTTTTTTTTTTTTTTTTTTTTTTTTTTGTTGTGTGTGTGTGTGTGTGAAATTTTCCTTTTTCTCCTTCTGGCATTTTCTAAGTGTGAACTTGAACTCTCATGGGCCTGAACCCTTATGCTTTTACTTTCATCAGTATTACCTGTTGTGCATAATTTAAATTTGATGCTGACTTTGCACTTAAGCATAATGTTTATTGTATCTTATTTTGTGCATTATTATTTTCTGTTTTTTGTCTGTACATTTGACAGCTCTGCTGCCTTGTTATATAAAAATGCAATGCCAGAAATAAAATTCCTATATGTTGCTTATTTCTGACTATCTACTGTACTTTGAATGAATATTTTGAATCCAAATCTCCTTTAAGATTCAAGTTTTACTTTGTTCTTTTAGTTGCGGAGCCTAGACTAGTAACACCATTACCAAGCATATAAGGCAAGATTACAGTGGACAGGAGGATAACAGACAAGATCTTAGAAACTCTGCAAGTTCAGCATGCTTGATCAAATTGGGTTTAATCTTATTATTTTTTTAATCTATTGGATCTACTGTCTTTAACCTATTGATATGGTTATTATGCATTTTTGTCTTGATATTTAAAGAGTCCATTTTTAAGGACACTGAATTGGACTTTATATATTTACACCTAGAAATGACAGATGAAATTATTTTTAGCAAAATTTCTGGCAAAGTGCCTAATTTAAAGAAATTGTTATAGCTGGTAACTTAAATGATAACTGAAACTTTTAGATAATGTGCTGCTATATAGTATTACCATTTTTATCATGCAAGTTATATGTACATTTACATACCATAAAGGCTTAAATGTCATAAGATTGGAAATATTTAACAAATTAATTTGGTTAACATGCATTTTTCTTTTAATTGTTAATTTTCTTACCAAGTGATCATCATGTACATGTTTGAACCTAAAAGAAAAGTCAATCCTTTTATGTAATTCAAAGTAAACTTTTGCAAGGCCCCTTTGAAAACTAGTGATGATACTTTAGAATACTTAATGCATATACCACCACTGCAATGTCTTGGGTAGTTGACAGGTACAGAATTGCTGTTTACATTTCATGGGATTTACTGTGTTTTTGGATATTTTATTGAGTTAATTGGGGGGTTCTTTTCATTTTAATTGGATGTTTTAGAATGTTTTAGTGCAGTAATCTGGGACATTGTTGTAAAATTTTTATGTCAATTGGGTTCTTTGGCATTAATTTTGTTTGGGAATATTTTAGTGTTGTTATCTATGGCAATATTGTGAAAATATGGAAATAAAAACTGGCTATGAAAATTCTGCTTTTTTCTTTCATTCCACAATTTTGTTTTCATACTAAACTGTTTAGTTCCACTAAGTAAGAACATATGTTTAGGATAAAAGGACATGCACTTTCTCTCTCTTTCTCATATTTTTCACCTAATTATCACTTTACATTGAAAATGCCCCATGGTTGTTTTCCAATGCAGACTTAAAGACATTTAAATTCCTTGAACATAATTTTATCTGAAGCATACCTAATTTTGTTCACAGTCAAGATGGTAGCCATGATATCATGTAACTTTAAAAAAAACCCCGTTTTATACGCAGTACTAGGCCATAACTCAAAACACCGCAACATTATCTTGTGTTATAAAGTGAAAACAAAACCATGCTCTGTATACATCTTGTGAATGCCAGCTAGGAAGGGGGAAATATTAATTGGATGTAAGGAATAATGAAATCTTGTCTATTTTTCTCTTGACCACCATTTGAAGACAATGAGTAATTTTTTTTGAGTTGGAACCAAAAAGGTTACAGCTCTCTTCCCAGTTATGGTTATGACTTGATCATTTCAATGGGGGAAAATTATCAATTTTTTAGGTACATAATTTTGGAGTCAATAAAAATACAATTCTATGTAGCAAATTTGTGCTTTTACTGTATAGTGTGCAGATGAGCTAAGTCAAGGAAGGGCATATATATATACGGATAATATACCCATGCAGTATATGTATGTTGTTCACTGGATCTTGGTTTTATTTCATGCAGAAATTCACAAGACACATAAAAACTAAAAAAAAGGCCAAAATGGCAATAATGCACTCACTTCCCATGATTTACCATGCTGAAATTTACTTATACAAAATTTGATAAATTTAAATAATTAATAATCAGTATTAAAAACTATCCATTTCTGTCATTCCTTAAACTATAAATTCTAAGTAAAGAAAATGGAAATAACTGATTAAAATGAAAGAATATACTACGTGTTCCTCCCACGGAGACACTGTGTTGAATGAAATAAAATGTCTACTAAGCTAATGGGAGTAGCCTTAAACCTAAAGTTGTCACTTTGCAAATGTACGTTGCATCAGATGTACTGGATTACCTGGCTCCTCAAGCACAATACAAGAAAAGCAATATTAACCTCACACACTCAATTAGAATATAACTTTTTGGTAAAATGTTTTTGAATTGTGTTGCTACACCTCAAAAGGTATGCTCTGATTTTTAAAATAAATAAAAATTTATTATTTAAAAAGCACAGTTATTTGTAAACTTCACAATAACCCCGTTGAAATGACCATAATGCAATAACTTAAAATGTGTACAGACTTCCATATACAAAATCTGTAACTATGCAGACAAAGAAGCATGACTTTGGTAAAACTTTTTCGGATCAATTAGACGTACAATTGCCACCCTTTACCAGGGGTAATCCTAGAGAGATTGCCACGCTCCGGCGCTGCCATGTTTATTTTGATCACGTGACGTATACGTGGGGCTCTCGGATAGGTCAGTGGGTGGCACCAAATTAAATCCAAGATGGTGGCAGTGCAGGTAAACAATTTCCTAAGATACGATATTAATACATGATTGAACCAAATCAATTAAACTTCTTGAACTATGTTAAAGTTCTTTCACTTAACAGACTACGAGAATAGCATGTTGAGTTGCTAGTAATTTTAACATTTAAAAGTAATCAGTGCTTTGTCGATTAGAAGATAGATAAATTCATTTGCAAGTGGCAAAAAAAAAAAAAAAAAAAAAAAAAAAAAAAAAAAAAAAACTGTTTGGCATTGCTTTAGTGATTGCAAAAAAAGGGCCGGTTTTTATTTCGTAATCTTACTAAGTTGTATTTCCAATTGTTTCACAGAAGCCAGCACAGTTTACAATAAGATTTCATAAACAGGGCATCTTAATATTTTATGGGTTAAATCAAGGAGTTATAACTCCTTGGTTAAATCACGCTCGGCTGTCACCTTGATTGGATAGTAAACGATTGTTGTAAAATCGCTAAATGATATTAAAACCGGGTGCATAAACTTGAAAACCACCTAGGAAAACCTTAGACTGCCACATTAATCCAATTCTATGCAAAAATAAACTAACAAGTGGTTAAAGCCTTCAAACCGAATGTCGTAAAGTGCCCATATACCTCCATAGAGACAATAAAATAGTGTAAGCTTGTGAAACAAAACTCAACCATTTTCAACATAATAATCGAAATAAAATACTGCCGGGCATCGGAGCGGCCTTATTTTGGTCCACTCTAACCTCCAATTAAGAAAAAGAAGCCATGCCATTGGACAATACAACCTCTGCGGTTACGTCACTTCCTGATTTGAATAGTGTAGAGGACCGATTCAAACATCAGAGGTAGAATTTGGCTTTACGGTTTGATTGTGCGTATGCCATGCACGGAATTTACCAACGAGCGACGGGATGATGTAGCCTGCAGTATTTGCGGTAAGCGTGCCAAGTTTTAGGCCGCTCCGATGCCCGGCAGTATTTTATTTCGATTATTATGTTTAAGTTGGTTGAGTTTTGTTTCACAAGCTCACTCTATTTTATTGTCTCTATGGAGGTATATGGGGACTTTACGACATTCGGTTTGAAGGCTATAACCACTTGTTATAGTTTATTTTTGCATTGTATTGGATTAATGTGGTAGTCCAAGGTTGCTCTAGGTGGTTTTCAAGTTTATGCACCCGGTTTTAATATCATTTAGCGATTTTACGACCAGCGTTTACTATCCAATCAAGGTGACAGCCGAGCGTGGGTTAAATATACAGTACAGGGTACAATGATAAATTTGGTGTAGCTGAATAGCGCAATACAGCGCAACACAGTGCATCACAGAGCAGTGCACTTGAAAAAACAATAAAGTACTGTTTGCTTTAAAATGTGTTAAACCTGTATCCATTGATGAAAAGCACACTTATAGAAAGAAATCAATTTCAGGGGGTGGACAAAAACACCTAAGACTAAAGATATAAGATATACTCTGGTCAGCCTATTTCAACAGTTTCAAGATGGGTGCTAAACAGTCAGTAGAGTTACCAGTAGCAGATGAAGAGGCTGGTGACCCTGTACATGACCTTCACCTTGACCTTCAAGGTCGCAGAAGGAATACCCAGTATGCCCAGCGTCTCCAGGGCATGGCCAGGATGATGACCAATCCAAGACACACCAGGACCAAAGCCAGGCTTGGGGCGGCGGTGGTGGAGGAAGAGGAAGACTTCGCTGGCAATAAGGTACTGATGTGTGTGAACTGCTCATAATGGAAATCATCATACAAATCTGTCAGCAATTTAAGATGTCACACTATCAGACATGGGGACACTACCTGTACGACTGGTTATGACCACTCGAAATGCCAGAGGACCTGCAAGATTTTTGATATAGTGGGTTCTCTGGACTGGTATGATTTAGGTGAAAATACATTATGTATCAAAGAATGAATCACATGTAACCATAAGCTTAACAAAATTATAAAATACTTACTTTGGACCAGCATAGAGATAGGAGGGTTCACAGATTTTTTGTAGTGCAGGTCCTCCCTATCATTATTTTTTCAGGAAGGGAAGGAATTAATGAAGCAGCTGTACAAAAAGCTTGACCCGACAGTGATGAAGACAATTGGGGTCATCCAGGGTGAGATACAGCTGTCATTTAAGTATGATTTCAACAGTGAGCTGCTGCTGATAAAGGTCATCAAATGCAGAGATCTGGACGCCAAGGACCTGAGAGGGAAGAATGCTAACACTTATGTCAAGGTGGGTAGACTGGCTGTGAGGGATGTACGTCAGTATTCTGATAGCACACCCCTTCTGATCAGTAAATGAAAAGTTGCCACTGGTCGATAACAGGTATGCTGCAGCCTGCAGTCTATATAATTAGATGTGTGCCAAGCTTTTTTCATTAACTAAAAAAAGAAGACTTTTGAATTTTACAACTTTTTTATTTTTTGGTTTTACGTATATTGTTGTTATTCTGTTATTAGACAAAAGCTATAGTTTATACAATTACCAAAATGTTCAATTACCAAGAACAACACAAGTGGTGTTCCCTTTTATTTTGTAGCTTAGTTTTCAACCATGAAATACATTAACATGCAGACTTATATTTTCAGCTTTCCCTGTTTCCTGATGACGACCAACAAAGGTCCAAGAGCACCCAAGTTGTGAAGCAGTCCCTGAATCCAGTCTACAGTGAGATTTTCTCCTATGTGATACAGGAGCCTGGTCTGGTTGATAGCAGACTAATAGTACAGGTGACTGGGTGGACTGTAGGGGGTGGTAGTTTACATATGGCCACATTTGTAACAGTGGGCTAACTAGTCCATGGATCATATATGGCGACAAACTTAATAGCTTGTTGTCTAATCTACTTATAGACACTGAATAGATTCCCTGCATGGAATATGCAACAAGCATGCAAGTGGGTCAGCCATATTTGATCTGCGCACTAGTGAATGTGAATGTGGCCTCTGATATCATCTGTAAAATCTGTGTATGGAATGGGATGACCCCAACAAGACTCTTGGGTCAAGTCTTTGCATTACTGGGAATATTGAAGTTTATTTTTTATTTATTTATTTTTTTTTAATTATTCAATTATTTTTTAGTAGAAATTTTAGATATTGGATAAGGTAAGTGACTAAGGAAGAACAGTTTTGAAATCTGGTAAAATCACAGCATATGATCACTTTTTTATGAACGTTGCAGGTATGGAACAAAGATGTCATGGGTCGTGATGACTTCATGGGCGAGTGTTTGGTGAAACTGAATGCATTTAATTTCCGAGAAGATCCAGTGCACACAGCGTGGTATGACCTACAGATGGAGGTATGCCATGGTTTATTATTATTACTCAGTACTTTATATATGAGTGAGAAGTGTACATTTTGGTTTATTTCTTAAGATTTAATTGTTTGATAGTTGTCATGTGACCAGTGTTTTTAGCTATCAGTTTCGTAAACTTACCTTGTTTTATTCTAGAATACTAAAAACAGTTGTAAGAGCAGATTTATGTGGTATGCTTTTGTTTTAGTTGATGTTGAGACATTTTTCTAAAAGCAATTTCTTTTTTTAAAACAAAACACTGCAGATTATGATGATATCATTTATGACTTGGTCTCTGAAGATGGTAGCGGAATATTTGGGGATCTGACCCTGGCTACCAGTGGTCACTCTTTCCCCCTCTTGACCAGAGAGATGTCACTGTAAATGTTCATTATTTCAGACTGACCTGGGGATATCAGGAGACTTAAACCTTACCCTGGCCTACAGACTCCCCCAGACCCTGCTGGTCACCGTCCACTCAGCAACTGACCTGTCCAAGAAGAACGGTGACCGGTCAAGTCCCTTTGTGAAGGTCACTATACCAGGGGTGGCACAGGTGGAACAGACTGAGGTGTGGTCTTCTTCTTCTTCTTCTTCGTGGCAGTAGCAGTAGTAGATTATAGTAGTAATACTAGTAGTAGTAGTAGTAGTAGTAGTAGCAGTAGTAGTAATATTATTATTATTATTATTATTATTATTATTATTATTATTATTGTCACTTCAAGAGTCAGATTTACTTAGACTCTGCCATTCTATCAGGAGAATTGGTTTGTCTCCACAGGTATCAAAATTTCCACAAGGAAATGTCAAGTGAAATTATGTATACATGTAAAAAGACTTTTTATCTTGATGTGATAATTTCCAGAAATGTTTTTTATCACTGACCTTTCCACAAACACAAATAGTATTTATTATACTTCCAGATCATCAAGGGCACCGTGAACCCTGTGGCACACATACAAACACATCGATTTACAAATAGTACATAAATATATAGAGATATTATTATACTTCCAGATCATCAAAGGAACCCTAAACCCAGTGTGGGAGGAGACATTTGAGTTCCAGGTGCCTCAGGAAGAGTTTGGCTACAGGTAAAGCATACAACAACTTATTTTATGATTTAGTTTGGTTCATATTTTAGAAGTTTTATTTGAGGTCAGTGTTAAGTAAATCATCCTTCTCATCAAAGGGGCTAGATTAGAAAAGTATATTAAGATTTAAAAATGTACATGAAAAAGGTAAAACCTGGTGCTGCAAAATAAGATTATTCACTAGACATAAAAACCCTTACATCCCTCCTTGCTGATACTTACCAAAATATGACTGTTCTATAGACATAAAATCCCTTAGGTTCCTCCTTGCAAATATCTAGTATTCTAAATTGAAACTATTCTGTAGACATAAAATCCCTTACGTACCTCTTTTCAGGTACCTGGTGTTTCAGGTGATAGACTCCAGTGCAGACGCTGAGAGTGACGCTCTTGGTCAGGTGATCATTGACCTCAACAACCTTGACCCAGAACATGGCTACAGTGGACCCTTTGGACTAGAAGATTTGGTAATTGGGGAATGTTTTCACATTTGTTTTTAAAATTTTATTGTTTTATAGACCTACTATTCATATGCATTCTAGTCTAGACAAAACTTCACTCAGTTATGATAATAGAAAGTTTGAGGCAAAACATGAACACTGAAAGTAAGAAATTTTGACCATCTATCAATGAAAGATTAGTATTGTTTTTGTACTGCCTTCATTTTTTGGAAAGACATTTATTTTTGTCCTAAGTAGTATAAAATCATAGTATTGCTTACCAATATGCTAGTTGATTGAATGTAAGTTGAAAAATTAATTGTTATGTTGACAGCTTCATGATGATTGTTTGATAATTGTAATCACACCCAACACATTCTTTGTATCACATCTAGCACAATCTGAATTCAAAAGTCATGACTTAGGCTGTATTCCCAGAGCTTTTAGATCGATCTATCCCCGCGGGGAGTCTCACTAGATTACTGTCAGATAATCCGGCTTAAATGTCCGTCCCACCTACTACAAGCTGTAAGAGGGTAATTAACTTTCGTGTCCGCTCGGCTGACAGCTATTTAGCGTGAACCCACAGGGAGTTAGGTCGATCTAAAGTAGATCGATCTAATCTCTGGAAATGGGGTCATAGTTTTCTCTGAAGTTTCTGTCATAGATACCATATTTCGGGTCAAGTTTACATTTTCAGAATTTATTTTCAGAAAAACAGTGAGCGTCTAAGAGACAAATGGGCCCAGAAAGCCATAGTTCAGGAGTTCAGAGAGTCCCTACTGGCACACTCCACCTTTAAAGAACCAAAGTTCCTCTTCCAAAAACAGTCTGGGAATAAAGTGAGTGAGGGTTTTTGAATGTTTTCAAATAAATTAAAAAATAAATTAAAGAAGAAACCTATTTAGATATATAGATTTTTGATCTAGAAGATTATGTTGAATTTATTTGATTGAAAGGTAAGGACTATTTCCCATGATGCTCTCCTTGTATTATTTTTTAGTTGATATTTGAGGCTTGAAACTTTTGATTAAAACTAATTCAGATGTGTTCATTTGTTGCTGTCACATCAAGTCAGTAGATTGTTTGCATGTCTAACTAGATCTTATATTTTTGTTTGCTTTCTCTCATGTTTTAATGTGGTGACACACAAGGAAGTTAAATATGTCATTGTTTGGTCATATACTGCAATTACCCAATGTTTTCAATGGGAAAAAAATTAATGTTACAGAGATGAATTTTTTTAAGTCATATATTCTTAAAATTAGAACATTCATATTGAGTGGTAGACTAAAAAGCAGGCCACCTTATAGTTCTTTATTGAACATTTAAAGAACCACAAATGTTAACATGGAGATATATATTTCAGTGATTCCAGAATGACATATCTGAAAAATTGATAATTTTTCCCCATTGAGAAGCTTGCATCATTACTGTCCTTACCCATGTTTGCTTTCATTGCAAAGCTGCTATATTTATCTCCTCACTGTCTCCTAAACCTAAAACGTAGTGACCAGATACACAGACGTAGAGTGAGCTCAGGGGATTTAACCTGCTGATATTTTTTTTTTTTTTTTTTTTTTTTGTTTAAGGGTGTCTAATTATTGTACATTTTCATTTCTTAATTGAAAACAGTATATTTAAATTGAATGTATGCATAATCTGTATGTTTTGATGGAAATTCATCTGTGTAGTCTTTTGATTATGTTATATGCTTAAACTTTTCAATTTCCACACTTGAGCTGACTATTGAAAGTTCAAATGCTAGGGAACCGTGTTCCATCTCATAGTAACGCACACTGAAGAAGTTCACAGTAGTGATCAAAAGTTTTCTTTGGTACACATCAAGTAAGTGTAGAAATTGACAAGTTTAAGCGTATAACATAATCTGTATGTGTCTCGTTCTTTTACATTTTTGTTAAAATTCAGTTATTGTTCATAGCCATAAAATCATTGCCTTTTACTTCTCTCCCAGAATATTTCATTTGTGAAATAAAATTTAAAAAATAATTAAAATAATAATAATCCAAAGTCACCATATTTTATAAAGTAGCACAATGCTGTGAAGAACCAGTGGAGTAAAAGCAACAGGAATTGTCTGATCAGTCACTCCATCAAAAATGACAGCAGGAAATATTACCAGTCATTTTAACTGTCATTTATAATAGTCACTTTCTACTGTTATTATTACCTTTATCTCTGAGTGGATGACCACAACCCTCAGTCTAGGTGTGGTAGTTTAGATGTTGTGGTGAAAAGTTCTCAGGTGAAAATACACTAAAAGCTACTTGTCATCAGTAGCACATTTGGCCTCACATTTTCCTTGTTTTTCTTGGAGTTTTTTTAACAGTTTGAATGTTCGCTTACAGTTTTCAAATCGTTCAATAATTGTGGGCGTGGCCAAAGTTGTCACACTGCACTTGCTGTGAGTCATATCTACTTGTAACACTTAATATTTGACAAATACTAGAACTTTTCTGTAAACTGTGTTTTTATCCTACCCCTTCCTGTCTGCTGCTTTCTTTCCTGGATTTGCCACTCAAACTCCTTTATTAGGTGAATTTTGTGCTATGTATTTTCTGTAATTTGCACTACAAGCCATGCATGTTCCATTTTTTTCAATTTAGCAGGTTTCTTCTAGTGAAAAAAAATTAGAGCTCTAGTCTAATTTCCTACCAATAGATGTCGCTGTAGGTTGCTGCTTTGCCTGTAGAGGTCACTGTTGTAGTATAGTGTCCGTGACTGTTTCCATCTACTCAAATTCTTATCGTCTGATCACTATCAGATCATCAATTTTTTTTTTCAGTCAGCAGTTGTTTATTTTGTTTTACTACAAAAAAATAAAAATAAATGGGCACCTTCTTTCTCTTCATTATAGGTGATCACAGTCACAAGTCGTAAGGCTGGAACACAAGCTAAGCTACGAATAGTCAATGGATTACCTGTGTATTGAGACAGGTTCATTGGATTCGGAACTTTTTATCAGAAGTTTATTTTTTTTTTTGCAATTTATTAAGCTTTGAATATGCTGTGAGAAGAAAATCCATATTTAGATATATAACGGGAAACTTGCTTGTTCTGCTAAATACAGTTTTTTGCCAAAACAGCAGGGGAACAGGTTTTTTGGAGGGTGTGTGTGTGCGTGTGGATAAAGTGCTGTCAGTCAGACCATACAATTAATATGTGAGGAAAATGCAAAGATTCCATAACTGTTTATTTTGAGGACTTTATGCAGTGCTCTTTTAGCTCTGTCATATTATATTTACGTTTAAAGTATCACTTTCCAATATATATATATATATATATATATATCAGGAACAAGGTATTTGTCTTACATCAGACAACTGTTATGGTTGAAAAGTCTTTTTAAGTAGTTTAATTTTTGAAAATAACTTAAAAATCTATATATCTATATTTTATATATCTCTAAGAAGATGTGTACATCTCTCCTCCGTCCACAAAGCCTAAGGTCACTTGTATGTAATATATTGGTTACTGCTCAAGGTGTTTGTCATGTGAATGTTAGCACAGTGTCAGGTGATATACGACATGGGTATAGTTGTGATGGTAAGAACACAACCCCCCCTCATCCCCCCTCCTCCGTGTCTCTCTTTCTCTCCCTTTCTTTCCCTCTCTCTCTCTCTCTCTCTCTCTCACTGACAAGAGCGGATGTCATTTGTCATACTTTTTATTTATTACAGTGCTCTCAACTGTGGAATTTGTATGTCATGCAAAAGTTGCCAAAACGTCTGCATTGTCTTTTATATGATTTCCCTCATACATTTATTCTCCTGCTGTAGATATTGTAAAGGTCTGCCATTGCCCCTTTTCTTTTTTTCTTTTTTGTTTGTCCCAAACACCCCAGTGACAGTAACTTCACACTCCTGCCTTGTTTTTTTCTCCAAGTCATGACTTAGCGTCATCTGTGGACACCTTAAAGTGGAGGCCTTATCAACAATGGATCAGCTGTAAGATCTGATATCTTCTCATGATGTCTTTATTAAGGGCTTAATCGTGTTCACTGTGGAGAGAGATAGAACTGATTTCAGCGCGGCACACGGCTCCCACTAGGTGTGTGCCTTGTGTGCACTAACACCCTTAGAAATTAGTAATCAAGATGTCGCGCACATTTGTTCCCCAAGTTAGTAATTATGCCATCCGGCCCAACCGACACACTCATACTATATTGTCCACTATAAGAATCTATGAGAGGAAATTGTATGAGGAAATATAGGAGACTCTTAGCCTGAAAATATTTTTTATTTATCAAATGATTAACAGTTAAATTTCAATTTTTGGGCTATGCACTTCAAAATTGAATTCTTCTTTGCTTCACTGTCTTATTTCATGTTTATTTTACTTTGTAAGAGAGAGCATATTTTAATGCCTGGAGTACGGAGTTTCGTTATCCTTATTCAGAATATGTTTTACTGTTTGTATGTTTGATATCATAAGTAAAAATTATTAAGCAATTTTTCAGAAGGAAGTAATTTAATTTGGATTAACTTCTACAGTGCTGTTTGCCCTTACTTACTTAATTTCAATATTAATTCTGTATTGAAACAGTTTTAAGATTTATTATTAACTTGAAAAAAGTATCCGATCTTGAACAATTTTTTTCTAATGATTGCCAGTAATTGCAGCATAGTTGGCAGCTTGATGCAGTTGGCAGTGACATGACATTCAGAGGGGGAAGTTGAAGTTCTCTCTATTTAGGGGCTTTATCTCACTATGATTGTGTACTTGTGATAAAAGTATGTTTCAATATATAAACAGTGCAACAGTAGGAATATGCATGTATGCATGCCAGTGGTTTTGTTGAATGCTTTCATGTGCATGCATGAATGCAAGTGCATACACACACACACGCATACACAGTTAGATGCAGTACAGGTAAAGTTCACATATTTCATATAAAAACATGCTAGGTCAGATGTAACAACAGACATAAAAACCAACAGTTTCAACGTCATGTCACTGCGGAGCTGAAAGTATTCTTATTAAGCAGTTGAAATTGAGTGTTTGCATGTTGGGAGTAATTTTGTTAAAAAATTTGTCATTAGTCAAGCTACTGGATACGGCCGCCCATGCTGTCTCCTACTGAAACGAAATACCATTCCATTAAATGCTGCCCCTCCCTCCTCGCCATAGTAATGATCTTTGACATAAAATAAGTAAGGCTCAAATAGTTTTATGTTTTTTAATATCATAACTAAAAAACACTGTCCTTATTTTGTAGAATCTTGAAACTGCATTTTGGAAAAAATGTCAGTAACTTCTGATCATAAGAAAAAGAAGTGATTTGCAATATTTATGTTGACATAAAATTAATTTGTTCCAGAACAAATCTCGGTGGTCAGTGCACCAGTTGACAAATGAGTCGCACTAATTATATTGTCCAGCGCCATGCCACTAGTTGTTGTCAATGACCAGGGACATGAGCACATTTTTTATTAATATCATTACTTCTACAGCATCCAAAATTTGCATAATTTTTCCATGAGGCACGTAGGTCAAATTGCTCAGTTGCTATGATTTATTGCTGCCACGGCAACATGGGAATTGCGCCTTCCACCATCTTGGATGCTGTCTGCTGTTTGAGTTATTATTTAGTCTGAAATCGTTTGTCATATTTTTTGATATATTGCTCTCTCTCAGATGATTTTTGGATATGATTTTATGGTGTTAAACTTAAAGTGTATAGCTACATATAGTAAGAAAGTTCCATTTTTGAAAATTGTGATCTTTGAACATATGATTATGATTTATGTTGAAATATTTCCCAGTGCAGTATTTGTTCTCTTAATATATCAGTTACATGGGTATGTGCTATTTCTCTTCTTTTATCCTTGGTTCCTTGGTTGGTGAAGAAGTGGCTTTGTGTGTATTGAAAAAAAAACTGAAACCCTTATGACTGAATACATTACATGTGACAACTATTTTTACCCAAGCTGGACTTGGGGTTTTTTATATATAGATTTAAAAATAATGCTTGACATTTCTAGACTAGTTAACTAAAATTAGTCAAAATTTAAGTATGGTATTAAGTCAGACTATTTAATCAAGAACTGAATTATATAAGTATTTCTTTATAGATTTTTTATTGTACTAAGTTTAAACTGTATGGGTAGACCTGTACTTACTCTTATGGTAGTCTCTAGTCTTTCTTGAAAAATATTTTTATAAATTTATTGTCACCTGTGTTGTCACCTTGATAACATGTAATTTTTGGAGATTTATGTTTAGATTTAAATTCATAAATAAGTTTAAAATATCTAATAAATATGAATAAGATATAAAGACAGATAATGGTTTGAGAATAAAAATTTTATTAAAAAGCTAAGAGTTGTGTTAATTTCTTTGAAAAATGATTTCTGTAGGTTTTGTGGAATATTGTGGCATTTGTCCCTAGTTTCATTTCAACTGAATAAATTCAATTGTAATAATGGCAGTTGACCTCAGTAATGGCGACTGATTTCATAGAGCATCAAGTCTCCTAAACACACAACTATATCAACATAATGAAATCAAAGGTGGTGGATTTATTTGATTTAATCTGCCAATTTCTTGTTGGTACATAAAGCAGGCCATTAATTAATTAGATTATATGTCTAATTACACAGACATTATACAATTTCATCTCCACTAGACCAAATTACTCTCTGAAAGCTAAGTGGGGGATTATTGAGTCTATTCCTGGACTGGTATCAGTTTTCATATACCTGTCAATAAAATTATATCAAATGGAAATTTCAGGATCAGTAAAAATGATTATGATATTATGGAAGTGATCTGTGTTTTATCAGCTTTTGATTGCTTCTGATTATTTTATTACAACATGATCAGTGGAGAGAAGGATGGGTTTGATCAGAAATGTTAGGGATACTGTCATTATGGAGGCTACGTGGTTTATAAGAGCCTCTGAGCCTGAATTTTGGGATAATACCATGGTGTTTTCTTGGAAATTATTGCAAATAAATATGTAAAGTGCAACTTTATATGGAAATATTCAAGCTAAGATTGCAGAGTGGTTTTGTATTTCTTTTCTGAAGAAATTTTTGTGTTAGAAAAAAAAACTGAAAAGATAATTTGCGGAGGGGTCAATTTATACTTTTTGGCGATTGTGACTTTGGTCTACAAAAAGAAATGTTGGAAAAAGTGAGTTTGATAATCTTTTGAAGAAAAAAATGTCTGGACTAAGTGTTGAAGATGTAATTTAACTCAATTTTTAAAATAAACAAAATGAATAATGATTGAAATAAGATATTAAGAACACAAAAAAAAAAAAATCTCCAGACAAAAACATTAAAAAAAATATACAAGTCATACTAGGAAGAAGTGGACATTTTCTTTCCTAAAAAAATCCATGGCAATTTGTTTATTTTGGCTCTTTCCAACTGTTTCATTTTGTTCCCTTCCAATTTTACAAGAAGTGACAACACAAAGGCTGACAGGCTCTGACAAGTGCGTGGTACTTTTAGCCGCAGTTCTGCCACCATGCTTAGTTTTTCTTTCAGGCACGTTTTCTGGATCAAATTCTACAAAGAACTCGGCTACATGACAACTCGAGAGGCAGACGACACTATGAAGTGAAGACATTTCACACAGCCTGGGTCAGGGTTGCTTATTGTTTGCAGTAAATAGAATTTATGGTGATAATATCAATTTTGTAAATTTAAGTTGTGAAGGACCTCTTATAGATTATACCATAGACCTGGTGTCTTCCATATTCTACTACTGAAAGTTTATATTAAAGATGCTATGAATGTTTTTATTGAAATTATAAGGAGAGCTTCAGAAAGAGGACAATGATGGTTTGTCCAAAGTGGACAAAATAAATTGTGATGGGACACGATCTCCAATTACCTTGAAGTTTTTTTTCTGCAATGAGAATACATTTACGATGGGTGGATAAGGAAAAGGAGGAGACCTCTCCGAAAATGATTGGCTGACAGTACTTAAACTAAGTGACAAAAACAGGTTATTTTAAGTGCAAAGTTTTTTTTTCGAGGAAAAAATTTACTTTTAAATTCCTTTTGTCATTGATTCTGTAAATACTACACATTTACTTTGCGCACAAGACAGGCTTTATACTAAAATCATTAGATGAATAAAATAAATAAAGAAAGATTCTTGATAACAATAAGAGATGATAAAATGTTAAAAGATTATTTTTTTCGCTGGAAGTTTTATCTACAAACTTAAGGGGATACTAACAATGGTATCAGTGAGCAAGAGAAAATAAATAGTACTGAAATTGTGATGTTAAAATGTTAAGAGGGTTCTTTGCTTTGAATCAAGAGGTCTGATCTAGAGATAGAGAGGAGAGAATAGCATGGAATCCACACTGAGAGAGTGTCTACCACTCGGACGCTTTCTATTTAAAAACCTGCTGGGTTTACTTAAAAGGAAAACAGCCGTTCATTTGGAATTGAATTCAAAAACATACCATAGCTAAATAAATAGCTGTTTTTTTCCACCTAGGCATCAGAGTTTTCATCTATTGTCGCGTGCTTTCGCAGTGAGCTTGAACAAACAACTTTACAAGCTCAAATCCAAAGCATTTACTCTCTGACGGTGACTGCAGGGGCTAGCCAAACAGTTGATTCTGTCTCAACTTTGTTTGGACTCCACAGAAACCTGGCAATGGAACGTTTTAAAATCAAACAGACTTGCTGTCTTTTTCTTAACCAAGTAATTTGCAAGAAAATATTTTTTGAGGCTAATGTTGTTTGAATAATGGGAGAAGATCAACCACACACCTCCAATAGCTAACTACAGTTACAGAGTGGCTGCCTCCCTAAACAGCTGACTGTTTTCATACATTTACAGGGATAATTAGCATTATTATGATGTTTTCTGAGATAACATAGGCATGCGACCATACTTTTTATTTCATTGCAACACCGTGGAGTTCTTATCATTCAGGCATGGACACTGACACATTTTGCATTCATTTTGCAAAGCTGGACTCTGTCATGTAGGTTTTGAGTTAATAAAGTATCAAAAGGCATGTATTTGGCATCAAAAAGGTAGGACAAACACTGTTGTTTTTATTGTTTGAAAGTGTATCAGCAGGTGCTTTACTTCATATTCAGTTGATTGATATAGTTTAGTCTCTCTCTCTCTCTCTACTTCTCTTTTTCATTCCTTCCTTTCTTCCTCTTTCCTATGATCTGTTGATTTTTCTCTCATCCCCCCCTTTCCTCTCTCCCCCCTTTCTTGCTGCATTTCTTCTGTTGTTCTCCTATTGCTTTCTTTCTCTCTTCCTATCTCCCTCTTTCCATCACTCTTTGTTTTTCTTCCATTGATTCCTCCCTCCTTTCTTCCTTCCTTCATAGCATTCCCATTCATTGTTCACTTGGGGTGCCCTAAAATTGGGTAATTATTCTTCCAGTACGGCTGCTCCTCCCACTGTAACTAGGCAGGACAGGTAAGGAGCCCACTGTTAGATCATACAGCAACACNCCTGGGTCAGGGTTGCTTATTGTTTGCAGTAAATAGAATTTATGGTGATAATATCAATTTTGTAAATTTAAGTTGTGAAGGACCTCTTATAGATTATACCATAGACCTGGTGTCTTCCATATTCTACTACTGAAAGTTTATATTAAAGATGCTATGAATGTTTTTATTGAAATTATAAGGAGAGCTTCAGAAAGAGGACAATGATGGTTTGTCCAAAGTGGACAAAATAAATTGTGATGGGACACGATCTCCAATTACCTTGAAGTTTTTTTTCTGCAATGAGAATACATTTACGATGGGTGGATAAGGAAAAGGAGGAGACCTCTCCGAAAATGATTGGCTGACAGTACTTAAACTAAGTGACAAAAACAGGTTATTTTAAGTGCAAAGTTTTTTTTTCGAGGAAAAAATTTACTTTTAAATTCCTTTTGTCATTGATTCTGTAAATACTACACATTTACTTTGCGCACAAGACAGGCTTTATACTAAAATCATTAGATGAATAAAATAAATAAAGAAAGATTCTTGATAACAATAAGAGATGATAAAATGTTAAAAGATTATTTTTTTCGCTGGAAGTTTTATCTACAAACTTAAGGGGATACTAACAATGGTATCAGTGAGCAAGAGAAAATAAATAGTACTGAAATTGTGATGTTAAAATGTTAAGAGGGTTCTTTGCTTTGAATCAAGAGGTCTGATCTAGAGATAGAGAGGAGAGAATAGCATGGAATCCACACTGAGAGAGTGTCTACCACTGGGACGCTTTCTATTTAAAAACCTGCTGGGTTTACTTAAAAGGAAAACAGCCGTTCATTTGGAATTGAATTCAAAAACATACCATAGCTAAATAAATAGCTGTTTTTTTCCACCTAGGCATCAGAGTTTTCATCTATTGTCGCGTGCTTTCGCAGTGAGCTTGAACAAACAACTTTACAAGCTCAAATCCAAAGCATTTACTCTCTGACGGTGACTGCAGGGGCTAGCCAAACAGTTGATTCTGTCTCAACTTTGTTTGGACTCCACAGAAACCTGGCAATGGAACGTTTTAAAATCAAACAGACTTGCTGTCTTTTTCTTAACCAAGTAATTTGCAAGAAAATATTTTTTGAGGCTAATGTTGTTTGAATAATGGGAGAAGATCAACCACACACCTCCAATAGCTAACTACAGTTACAGAGTGGCTGCCTCCCTAAACAGCTGACTGTTTTCATACATTTACAGGGATAATTAGCATTATTATGATGTTTTCTGAGATAACATAGGCATGCGACCATACTTTTTATTTCATTGCAACACCGTGGAGTTCTTATCATTCAGGCATGGACACTGACACATTTTGCATTCATTTTGCAAAGCTGGACTCTGTCATGTAGGTTTTGAGTTAATAAAGTATCAAAAGGCATGTATTTGGCATCAAAAAGGTAGGACAAACACTGTTGTTTTTATTGTTTGAAAGTGTATCAGCAGGTGCTTTACTTCATATTCAGTTGATTGATATAGTTTAGTCTCTCTCTCTCTCTCTACTTCTCTTTTTCATTCCTTCCTTTCTTCCTCTTTCCTATGATCTGTTGATTTTTCTCTCATCCCCCCCTTTCCTCTCTCCCCCCTTTCTTGCTGCATTTCTTCTGTTGTTCTCCTATTGCTTTCTTTCTCTCTTCCTATCTCCCTCTTTCCATCACTCTTTGTTTTTCTTCCATTGATTCCTCCCTCCTTTCTTCCTTCCTTCATAGCATTCCCATTCATTGTTCACTTGGGGTGCCCTAAAATTGGGTAATTATTCTTCCAGTACGGCTGCTCCTCCCACTGTAACTAGGCAGGACAGGTAAGGAGCCCACTGTTAGATCATACAGCAACACGAGGCTCAAATTTCTCTCCCCTAATTGAAAATTTCTTAGCCTTGTAGTAGCCTCTAACTCATCAATGGAAAATTATTAATTGTAAATGATTAGGATGATTTCCCCCCTCCCCAATGTCTGCTTTCAGCAAGACACCTTATTAACTGGTTCAGTTCACCTATGAAGACCCGAGAAGGGAGGCCGGGATATCCGATGTCTTCACCAAGACGCCAGCGACTGCAGGCTCTGTCGTCCATTATTGTTTTCGGAAGCGCTGCCTAGTGAGTGGTTGATGAAGCGCTCAGCAGGGCATGTAAATGCGCTGAAATTTAGACAAATTGAAAGGTTGAAAACTTTTATGATAACATATAGGGTGGTCTGGTGAGAGTACAAGATTTTGTTAAGAAAAGAGCAATACATATACAGAAGAAAATATGAGATCTTATTTGACCACCAGTTCATTATATTTTAATGACTAAAGGTCTGTATTTGAAGGTATTTTGTAACACTAATCTGTTCACCAAAGTTAAGAACAACATATTTGCCAGATCTTTTTTATTGGTGATTGATACTGTATCTGAAAAAATATCAGTTTAATTTTGTAAACTTTTGAAACTGTCTTCCAAGCAAAGTATAAATGTATAAATATATCTGTAATTGTCTCTTGATTAAAACATCAGTGTCATTCCATATTAATGGAGGGGTGGCTCAGTGCTGGGCTTTATTAAGTAATGTCAAGAATGTGATCATGTTCCGCATGCAATCTCTTTCCATCAGTGAAGTTTTTTTGTTAATAATTTATTAAAAACAAATAAATTCAGTTGTCAAGAATTCTGTTGCACATTCTTTACAGGTACACCCATCTTAAAGTCAGCTAATTTATATTAACAAGGTGTTGGGAAGAAGATTAAGTCAAAGTGATTAAAACCCTGTGAAGAGATGAGGAAAGGAGGGGGTGAGAAGAGGAGGGAAGAGATGAGGAAAGGAGGGGGTGAGAAGAGGAGGGAAGAGATGAGGAAAGATGGGGGTGAGAAGAGGAGGGAAGAGATGAGGAAAGGAGGGGGTGAGAA